GGGGGGGGGGGGGGGGGGGGGGAGGGGAGCAGCATCCACCATCGGCTGAGAATACGCCATCCCCCGAAAAAGACAAGAATGCGCACTGAAATAGCAACAAAAGAGGGGACACCCTTTTTTCGGTGGAACAACGCAGACTGTTAAAGAAGCTGTCGTGCAAGAGGTGTGTCACCTTACAGCAGTCAGCATGGGCATCATCGTTCCAACGGGACTCGCATCCAACTCGACAAAAATAGTTCAGTCCGTCAAAAAGGGGGTCCTTCTCCTGTCTCGGTCTCGAGCTCTCTCGCATATAACACAGGCAGGCACGGCACAATAGACACGACTATGGACGCCTGATTGGCTGGAGGTGTGCCCCGCTGTTTCCAGGTGATGACATGTGAAAAACAATAGAGGAAAAAAAAAACACGAAATGAACCAAGCACCAACTCATTTCCCTCTGCGCCACCACCAGCAGCGAGCGCAGCACCCCGACAGCCGAACAGCATGGCACCGGTGCCGCGTCGAGAACGTGACGAATCGCGACAAGCCCTACATTCTAGCGATCACTAACACTGCCTAATGCGGACAGAAAGCAGGCCGAAAGGCCTGAAAAAGGTTTCGACCAGAGCGAGACACGCAACCCCCGACAAACACCGACACGACAGCGCTGACAAGTTCTAAAAAGTAAAAGGGCGACATTCGGCTACAAACGTGAATACCCGAATGGTCCCTGTGTCAACGGAGTGAAGGCAGCAAGGCCATGACGTGAATACCCCAATGGTCCATATAGAAACGGAGCGGTAAGCAACAGGGCTAGGACGTGAATACCACAATCGTCCATACATCAACGGAGTGGTTAGCAGCAGGGTCAAGGCCAAAAAACGCACCTGTCCCGCCATCATGTAGAGCTTGGCGAAAGTGGGGTAGGACGGCAGCGCTGTGTCGATCAGCTTTAGCGCCGCCTCGGGCGCCTGGAGCTCCCTCTCTAGCAGGGCGGCTTTCATCCACACTAGCGCCGTGGGGGCGCGGTCGCACGCCTTCTTGAGCAGAATGCGGGCTCGCTCGAAGGCGTTGTTCTCCCACTCCAGCTTCACCGCAGCCAGCCACACCTTTTTCAGTAGGGGTTCGAATTTGCAAGCAGCATGAAAAAAACACGCAACAGCAGTACATCACCAGTCACACTTGCGTAGTCAGAGGTTTGCTCTCGCGGCACTTTCAGGGTGCATGCACCGCAGGAGTGGCGGACGGGTGGTCTCAAGTAGAGCGGAACCCTTCCGCTGTGTGACCAACGATCGGAGCTCCTATACCCAGCAGAAACGCTGTGAGTGCTGAGATGATATAAAGTGGTGAAAAAAAGAACACAACAAACGGCCGCCTTTCGATGCATTTCATTCTAAAAACAACAACACCTGCTCGCTGTCAGGGTTTGCAAGGAAAGCCTCCTTGAGGATGGTCCTCGCCCCGTCGACGTCGTTGCTGAGCCACTTCTCCTTCGCCGCCATGAGCCACAGCATCTCCGCACGGGGACAGTGAGTCACGGCCTTCTTCAACATCTGCGCCAACAGTAAAACAATACGAGAGAAAAATTAAGGACGGCATGCAATGCGGCAGAAACGCTTTCAGCGCTGATTCCAAGTGACGAACGAAAGAAAAAAGCCAAACAATAAATAACGACGTACAGACACACGGGGTGGGGGGGGTGGGGGGGGTCCAAGTTAACGTCCCCGCTCCCTCTGAAAACCAAGGCTTTCAAACTCAAAACGCACACAGAGAAGGTGGGTGATTGTCGTCCACATCAGTAGGGCGGTACGTTTGACGTGGCGCATGGCTACGCCCAGTGGTACCATCCAATTGACACACAGAGAAGCAAACAACACAGGCCACACGCATGCAAGCAGCGGCAACAGCACAACAGCTTCTGTAATAGGTGGCACTGTCCTGCTTAGAGCTAGCTGACTCGGTGCTCTTACCTGCTCCAGCGACTCTGCCGTGCCGTGCTTCTTCTCCAACGCGCAGGCCCGCATCCACACGCCCTTCTTGGACCTGAAGTGGCCCAAAGCATGGGCGTAGATCGCCCGCGCCGTCTCCACACCTCCGCGGTTAAGGGAGTTTTCCGCATCATCCATCCAGGTCCTGAGAGCAGAAAGTGCGGAGGGGGGGAGTAGTCGACAAGCAGCCTTGAAAGCTCAGGCTTGAACCCATCACTGCAGAAAGTACTGGAGGGGTGGATGGGTGACAAATGGATAAGTAGCTCTGAAGGTCCTGGATTGAATCCATCAGTACAGAAATCGGAAGGATGGCTAGATGACAACTAGCTTTGACATTTCAGGATTGAATCCATCAGGGGCTCTCAACGTTACGTGGTGGTGTGCTCCGACATTCTCGAGGCACTCCCACCATCCACGGGCGCACTCACACCAAAGGGGGAGGGTGATGTCTCCAGCAGTAAAAACTGCCAACATGAACACCGACACTAGATATGTAGTCCACACAGGCAGTTAGTCTTGGTAGGATTAAGTTGCCGTATCCCGCCGACTGACCGTTTCCTGTCTTCCTCTTCCACCCCGATGTGCACCGTGGCGCGGACGATCGCGCCGCACGTAAGGGGGGCATCCGCTTGCTCTGCCTCCTCGGCTTCCTTGATCCACTGCTCTCGGTCGATCACCACCTGGAACAGAAAGCAATGGGTCGGGTGGCTCGCGATTTTACGAAGCTACTAGAGTTGGAGGTGGAATAGTTCTTTGTGGTGATTGCACGAAAGTACCTGCAATAGGCTCGTGCGTCTGTTCATTGGCTGGCTCGTGTGATTTTCTCGTCGTACAGAAGAACGGGGGGCGGTCCATCATCACCAGCTAGAGAGGGGGGTGGTATCCATCATCATTCGCTAGAGGGGGGGGTGGTGTCCATCATCAGCTAGCGAGGGGGGTGGTATCCATCGTCAGCTGTGAGGGGGGGGTGCTATCCATCGTCACCAGCTAGAAGGAAAAAAAACGTCGAAAAATTCCCCGGCTGGTGCTGCTGCGGCTGATTGTTTGAACAGGACGCTTCCGCCACCGCTTTAGATAACAGCAACAGCAGCAGCAGCAGAGGCGACACACCCTCTCGCCCACAATGAGTGTAGAGAGGTGCACAGCACAGCAGTGGTACTACATCGTCTAGGAACGAGCGTGATGTGTTACTGGTCCCGTGCTGTGATGTATGTGTGCCTCTCTCCAGAGCAGAGTCAGAGGCCGCTCCCTCCCGCCGCGTCGCAACACAATAACAACAACCAACCGATGGACCCACAGAGACCCAATCAATATCTCTCCTCTCGCTTCCTCCGCCGAAAGCTAGCAGCAGCAGTAGTATAGGGCACACCCTGCTCCCGTCCCGCTCTCGCTGTGTGGTGTGTGCAACACACGCTGGTTGGTGGGACTCCCTCTCTCTCCAGAGAAAAAAAGGCGAACAAAAGGCCGGCTGCGTTGAACAACAACAAACAACGGAAACAACAACAACAACATCATCAGCGATGAACCCCAGACCAACCAAACGTTCCCCGCTTCCTCCGCCGTCGCTAACAGCAGTATGTGTGTGCGTCCCGCCCCCCTTGTCCATGTTCCCTGTCTCTGTGTAGTGCGTGTCTTGCCAGTAGCAGCAGCAGTGTGTGCAGCACGGCAGTGCGTCGCGGGTCTTGCGTGCGTGTAGTTTGTTGCCCAAAAAACAAAAATGACGCCTCTCGGCCGAGAAGTCGGGGATGCGTCCATGTGACACATATGTATTTGCACAAACGGTGTGCTATCTCGAGACACTGACCACGGATTGCAAAGGTAGCGGTTGGGACAGCTCGGGCAAAATGTTACTTGTTGTGCGCAAGTTTTAGTTTGCAATTTGGTGCCGAGATGGTGTAATGGGCTCGAGTCTACTGGGATATTTAGGGCGCGCAGACAGACAGACAGACAGACAGACAGACAGACAGACAGACATCAGACAGCCATTGCGTCTATTTCACGCCCCTGGGCATGAAAATTATTATTTTCTCGTGCGCACATACATCCACACACGATCCCTCTAAACAGCTTCTTTTTTTTTAAACAAAAAGCGTACCCCTATACGGGCCACTCTTTTCGCAAAAAAAAAAACTATTAACAACTATTAGAAATTAATCATCGTCGATTGAGGTGCCGCAGACAATAACACAAGGGGAAATGGAAACGACGAAACAAACAAAACCGCCACCTTTCGCGAGGATATGTTTCAACTTGGTTTTAGTGTGGGGGGTACGGGGTGGCTTGGGGGATAGGGTAAGGGATAGGGACAAGAAAATCCCCTCTCTGTATCATAGATAAAGTAAACACTACACTCGCCAAGGCGATCCCACACACTAGAAATATATTATCTTTCATCGACAACGACACCCATCTATCAAACGAGTAGGGCACAGAAAAAAAAAAAGGAGACAACAAGACCACACGACCACATGCAGACTTTCGCGTCAAAGCGTTGGCTCTCTCGCCTGGAACTGTCTCAAGGATGAGATCGCCATCTCGATGATCTTGTCCACCATGTGCGGCTTGCCCTGGGCCTCCTCCAGCTTGCTAGCGGTAATCCAGATCGCCGGTTCCGTCGGGATGGCTTCTCGTGCCTGTCAGCATGACGTCACGCCATCATGTCTTGTTGTCTTGTGTCATGCTCAGTTGTTGACGTCTTCATGCCTTGCCGTGCCATGATCAGTAGTCTACATCAAAACAGTTCCGGATCTACGCACCGTTGCCAACAAATGAAAACAAACACCGAGTCACAAGAAAGAAAAACGCAGCTACACATGAGGAAATCAACGCACACACCAATCTCATCTCCACTTCAGCAATAGGAGCGGCAGCGACAACGTAAAAAAAGCATGCCGCTGTTCGCCCTGTTGACCATCACAACAGCAGCAGAGGCACAAGCAGCAGCAGCACCACCGCCAATACAAATCTTGCGCTGTTGACCACTTCAACAACCGTCGACAAAAACCACCTCCCGCTGCTGCTCACCCTGTTGAGAACCTTCTGCGCGTTCTCGTATGTCTCGAGACGGGCCAGCGCGAGCCACATGTCCACGCTGTGCGGCACGCACTCCACCGCCCTCCCGAGCATGATCAGGGCGTCCTCCACCCCCTCGAGCTCGATCGCCGTCTTCCAGAGCTTGACGGAGTTGGGCACGAACTCCAGCGCTCGCCGAAGAACCACCTAATACAGCAGTCGTTTGTAGAAAAAAGCGTACTGATACATAAAAACACAGAGCGACTTGACACCCGTCGGTGACGTTTTCGAGTCGTTTCGTGCGTATCGACAGCCAGCGCCCCGTGATGATGAGGCGGCCGGCTAGCGTCGGGTGGGTTGGGGACAAGGCGCCCCCATCTGCCATCTGGGCCAGGAAAACATGGACCCAATCGCAAAGTGGTTCTCACGTGTTGGAAATCATCTTCCCAAGTATGGTAGGACTATATCGTGTCTTCTTCATGTGGGGGTAGGTTCATTGTTGCTCATGTCTTGGCAAGCTCCAGAGCTGTGACTATTTCCATGGTCTTCACCGCGGCGCGGTGTTTGCATAGAAGGGGAGGGGGGGAGGGGGGGAGGGGTCCGTGGGTTACTTGGCCCTTCACATCAGGCTTGACCGGGTTCGTCCACGACTCCCCCGTTCTCGGTGGGGTGTGGGAGTTGCTCCCTCAAAACAAACTTCGGGAGGAGGGGACACAAGAGCGCTCCGAACATAACATACCGGGGAAAATAAGGATACTTCCGTCATCGTTCAAGGATACTAAGGGTATCGTTGGCCATCATCGTTTGAGGATACGATTGGGGTATTAGGCGCCGTTGGACCGTAGTTTTTATTTTCTTGTCCCAGTTGAAATATCTGGACGTAAGTCCTTACACGTTACAAATATGGACGCGCCAACGGGGGCCACACTTTGATTCTGAAAATGAAAGGGCAAAAACTGGGATGGTCGCCCAGAGGACCAAACCCCAACACTCGCACTATTACTCGAATCGATCCCCAAAACTTATCTTGTACCAGCAAAACCATGCTGACAAGCAACGCCACTCCATCTTGATGCAAAATCAAGGCGCTTACTCACCTTCTTGGATGCGTTGGTCGTCTCTAGCTCCGCCGCCCTCAGCCAGATCTTGACGCTCGTGGGAAGGTTCCTGATGGCGTTCGCCAGAACGGTCTTCGCGTTCTCCGGCGTCTGCAGGCGGGCGCCCTCCAGCCAGACGTCCTCGTTGTCGGGGCACGCCTCGCAACCCGCCTTGATCGTCTTGCGAGCCTAGCGATCGCGGGAAGGGTTTCCCATAAGGTACACGGTTGGCGTTTTGACCGTGTGGGGCTACCAACGAGCATGGGTTGGAGGATGAGCTCGCTAGGGCTACGAGCTACGGGCCTAGTGGAAGGTCAAGGATTTGTCATGGGGTGTACGGTTGGTTTCAGGACTAGGCTGCGACCAGGAATCAGCGTATTTGACTCGCGACCCGCCTTGATCGCCTTATGGGCCTAGCCATCGCGAGAACAATTTCATAGGTAAGCGTTCGGACTATGTAGGGTTACGATAAGGCGCAAGGTTGATGATGGAGCCGCTACGGCTACCACTGGCTGTGGCCACGATCATGTGCCATCTGGTAAACAACAAGCATATCCTTGCCTGGACGATCTTGCCGGCAAACTCTTCCACGCGCGCAGCCGCGATCCAGCCGGGCCCGTGCTTGGGATTGGTGGACGTGACGCTCTTAAGTAGAAGCCTCGCCTGGTGGCACATGGAGGGGGAAGGGTTTCCGAAGTGGCAGGGGGGGGGGTTTCCAGAGACAAAAAGGACGCGATCAGGGACCCCTGCAGCGCATGGAGGGGTTTCGACGATCGATGACAAGGGGCGGAGAGAAAGGAAAGGGGGGGGGGATTGCTCCACTCAGCGGGGGGGTTGCAGTTGCGGAAGTCGGGTTGCACGAGGTGTTGGTTATCCAGGGGGGTGTCGTGCTTGTAGGTTTCTCAGATTGCGCCATGTTTCACTACATTTTTTATGGAGGCAGCAGCGAAGTGGAGACAAGAAAAATAAAAAAAAGTGTAGTCCTATGAAAGAGGAGTTCTCGGCAAGGTGAACTTCATCGTCAAATATGACCTGAGACCGTGCGAAAAGGACATGTCGGAAGAGCGAGCCAAGTCTAACAACAACAAACGGTTCGAGAACATTGGCATGTCTCGATGCAAATATTACCTGTTGCAGATTTTCCTCACAAGTTGGTACGCTCCACCAACAGCAACAACGACGCAGTAGAGAAAATCGACATGTCTCGACGCAAATACTACCTGTCGCAGATTTGACGGCAGTGTGCTCGTTCGAGTCTTATCAACGGAGATGGTGTGGCGTAGCGTGGTGTTCTCACCTTTTCGATGTCCCCAACCTCGGCATCGCTGCTAATCTTCAAGGAGTTGAGATCCGTCAGGTAACTGGGTACCGCACCGGTTCAGTGACAGTCACACCACAGCAGCAGCAGCAGCAGCGGCAGAGTAAGGACAGACGAAGCAAGTTAGTACCATCTCGCCTCTCGCCCTCCCACCACAAGTGACACAAGACATGACACCCCGGAAGTAAAAATTGAGCTCCAACTAAGCGTACGGTATTCTGTGAGAGCTGTGGTATCTCACGTCACTACCAATTGATCTGAGAGTTGTTCTCTTCTTTGTTTGGGCGCCGTTGAAAACTGGTGCACACCCTGTTGTACTCCGTCTGCACGTGTGGGGTATCGTCTTTTATATACGCTGCCTTTCTCATCCTTGGGCCAAGACGTGTATCCCCTCTCTCCCTTATTCTACCCTTCTCTGTTGTCTCTCTCTCGTCTGTTTCACTCCTTGGGATTGACGACCGTCTGCGTGGCCTACCTCCCCCCCTCCCTCCCGAATCCCTCCCCCCCC